ACACTGTGCTGCCCGCGCTCTGGGCAGCGGGGCTGTGAGCTCCTGCCAGGTAGCGCGGCTGCCGGTCCTGGTTCTCTGAGTGGCATGGTAAGGGGGCTGAGGGTGGAGAGCGGGGGGGTTGGATAAGGGGCAGAGGGTCCTGGGGGGCAGTCAGGGGACAGGGAGCAGGGGGTAGTTGGATAGGCATGGGAGTCCCAGGGGGCCTGTCAGCGGGTGGGGGTGTGGATAGGGGTCGGGGCAGTCAGGGGACAGGGAGCAGGGGGGATTGGATAGGAGTGGAGTCCTGGGGGGGTGACTAGGGGCAAGGGGTCCCGGGAGGGTGTGGTCAGGGGACAAGGAGAGGGGGCGGGGGGTTGGGGGTTGGATGGGTCGGGGGTTTTGAGGTGGGCAGTCAGGCGGCAGGAAGTGGGAGGGGGCGGATAGGGGGAAGGGGCACAGCCTTCCTTACCCAGCCCTCCATCCAGTTTTGGAACCCCGATGTGGCCCTCAGGCCAAAAAGATTGCCCACCCCGGTCTAGAAGAAATATTGAGAAGAGAATTTGCACCGGGAAAGGTCACTTTAGGATGAATTGCCTGTTTGTTACTGTTCCGTTTTTCAAACTGGCAGTAAAGATGCTTTTAGTGATAGAAAAGTAAATAAACTAAAATTCCTCCTACGACCCTGCATTTTTTTAACCAAACTGTCCTCTGCTTGTTGTTTTGCCAACACAAATCTTTTCCACAGTCTTTAGTATCTAACTGCCACGACAGTAACACTATTGCAGGCCATCTAGCAAAGCTTTGTAGATGTCAAGCAATATTTAATCTTGCATGGACAGCACCAAGCTGCCTGCCATAGTCCAGCCAATGCACTGCAATCGTGACCTAAAAGCTTGCCTGTTCCAATCCTAGATGTCACCAGAGAACAGACTGTCCATTACACCAAACTCTGTGCTAAGTTTTATGATGTGAAAAAGTGTTCATCCTGGACTAAACTGAAACCACTAAACTGATTCTGCCTGTGACCCAAGCCAGATTTCAATCAGTTCCCGGTGGTTTAATGCTGTTTCATTGCATGACCCCACCAAAAATATACAATGTTTTTTATTAAAAAGCAGTTAAACCTCAGCTTGAGGTTTCTGGCCAAAGTCAGTTCAGAAAGGGAAAATATACACTGAGAGAGACTGTGCTCAGGTTGTTTCCAACCTTACTATAAGCAGAAGAAGTACTAGAAATGGCCTAGAGTGAAAAACAAAATACAAACAAAAACAACAAAAAAATGTCTTCTCATGAGAGCTCCATACTAGTTTTGAAATCGTAGTAGGTTTAAAACATTCGGACAAACATCTAAGCTTGGGGTTGTTTATCTCCCATCCACTTGAGATTTTCCCATCATTGGGCCTGATGCCAAATGTTTCCTGTAATATGCTAAGAACTTCCACTCTCAATGCACAGTACATGAAGGAGTGATTGTAGCATGGGTAACAATAGCAGAGAAGACATGGCAACATGGGCTTCACATCTTCATTTGCTGTGTGGTGGTCTTTTGATCTTCAGTTGCAGCCTGACGTAAGATTTGGCACATATTGGAGACAAGATACAGGATCTCTGAAGCTAACAGCTAGCCTCCATTGACTTTCTAGCGTGTACTTAAGTATCCTTATCTGGGAAGCCATTGTATTGCCTTCCTGTACAGTTCCCATTGAATTCAAGCGTTGTAGGTGTATAATAAACTAACCCTAATAAAAATTACATCAATACAGTCACATGGGGAAGTCTTCTTACCCAATACAGAATAACCTCACTGATCTGATCATATACAGTGTGATCCTCCTTCTCCTTATCTCTGACATGAGTTCATTCTGAATTACAGCAGTGAGAAAGGAAGACTAGGCCCACTGACATCAGAAGGATCTGAGGGTGCTCAGCACCTAGCAAGACAGAGCCCACAAACAAGGAGGATGTCATTCTTGATTTTTTGTTACACTGCAGCAAGGGCATATTAGACATTTTGGAGAAGGCAAACCAAGGACATAATAGTAACAGTACTTTGCATTTTTTCATCCAAGGATCTTAAAGCATTTTACAAAAGGGAGATTTCTCTCTTTTACAGATGAGGAAATAGAGGCACAGAGAGGTTAAATGACTTGGCCAGAGTCAAACTATGAATCCGTGACAGTCAAGAATAGAATCTGGGAGCCCTGGCTCTCAGGTGCCTACTGTAACTGCTAGACTGCTCTGTTATCCCAAGTTTATCTTAACAGCATTTAATTAAATCCTTAAACTAGGAGTAGTTTGTTTAATAAAATTTTAAAAAGAATAGCCTCTATCAGCTTTTATATAGACGTGGTACATTTATCTACAGTGTATGTTAATCTAGGTACAGCACAAGTATTTTCCAATAAATATTTCTTACAAATGTTTGCTCACTTTAGAAGTGGTGGTAAATACCCTAATCTCTTCTCACATTACCTATATGGGAAAATAAATAACTATATTTTCCAGGGAAGAAAAATAGCCTTTGCCTGGCAACAGCCAAAAACACAAATGCACAAAGGGAGCATTATATGACCTCTACTAACCATTAACTAGTGTGCACAAAGAAAACAACATGTATGGAGAATGGGAAAAGTCTTAGGTAAATAGCCTGAAACCAGCAAACACAGACTTAGCTGGAGCTTGGACAAAGCATCACCATTCTGTTGAACAATCAAAGAAAATTGCTTCAGTTTAAACACATCAGGGCCAAACATTCAAATAAACCATTATGTAGGGAGGAATGTTTTAAGCAACTGAATGAGCCATACAATTACCAGCCAAACTTCACCCCTAATGCCTCCTGATCTCTTTAGGCTTTAGGTCTCAGGCCTGGAGCCATCATCTCTTTCTTGGGGTTGAATCAAGCTTTTCTCCCACTCTCAGACCAGGTGCTGGGTGGCAGTTCCCTGCGTATCAGCCATGATCACTTTAGAAGTTCTGACTTGGGCTCAGCCTCTGCAGTTTTTCTCCCTCTGGGACATAACAGTGTCAATTTGTGACCAAACAGCTTCCTTAAGACCCGTGGCTGCTCTAGGCAGATAGGCAACCTAGACAGCTGCCTTAAGTGACAGATTTGGGGATCTTCCCAGGTTCCCTCCATGGATGGCACGGGGGATATTGCTCCCCAGAACAGGGGGTTATGCCAGGTGGGCTCCTAGAAGTAGGAAACGGCCCCCCCAGAGCTCTGGGGAAGCGCTCCTGCCCCCTCTGCAGCTGCTGCCCATCCCCAGTCATTTGGCTTCTGGCCCCAGCTCAGGCGCTGAGCTGCTCAGAGCTGCTTCTAGTGGCACTGCGAGTGCTGCTGGGGCTTTGGCCACAAGCACAATGACCAGCCTGGCTCCATGTTAGTGGCCAACCTGCACCTGCCATGCCACACCCAGCCCCCTCAAACACTGGTGCCCAAGCAGATCCTGGCCCCTGCTGCTGCCACCACTTTGGATTCGCATAGTGGCCACCCCATGCTATGAGCACGACAGAGAGGCGCTCATCCAGAAACGGTATGTGTATGTGTGTGTGTGTGTGTGATCTGGGGCAGAGGGTGCAAGCAGGGATGGACTGGTAGGGTTGGGAGGGGAGAGAGTGCAGGGGGTCAGAAAAGGGTGTGGGGTGCCTGGGTCCTGTTGTGGTTGAGCTGAGCAGCTGTATGGGGAGCAGTGGGGCGAGTCCCTACTGCGAACTTCTAAGAGGATAGGATGGGATTGCACACTGAAGTTTTGCCCAAGGTGGCAGATTGGCTTGAGTGGCCTCTTCTTAAAGCCAAGTGTTATTTAAGAGAAAACATATCTTAAAAATAATAAAGCATACTGCACGCATATCTAGTTCTTCCCTAAGGCTTAGCATTCTCTGCATCTGGGAGACCCAGTTCCTTCAGCCTCCTCCACTGAGCCTGTCTGCCCCGGCAGCTGTTCATAAGCAAAGCCACTCTTCTCCTCCTCAGAGAGGCTTTTTAACTCTTTAGGGCATTTCTGCACAGTACATGAAGGAGTGATTGTAGCATGGATAACAATAGCAGAGAAGACATGGCAACATGGGTTTTACATCTTCATTTGCTGTGTGGTGGTCTTTTGATCTTCAGTTGCAGCCTGACGTAAGATTTGGCACATATTGGAGACAAGATACAGGATCTCTGAAGCTAACAGCTAGCCTCCATTGACTTTCTAGCGTGTACTTAAGTATCCTTATCTGGGAAGCCATTGTATTGCCTTCCTGTACAGTTCCCATTGAATTCAAGCGTTGTAGGTGTATAATAAACTAACCCTAATAAAAATTACATCAATACAGTCACATGGGGAAGTCTTCTTACCCAATACAGAATAACCTCACTGATCTGATCACGTACAGTGTCCAGATCATTATTGCATATCAGTAGTAATAGCTTAATACATAGAAATTCCTACAGCATTCCTGTGACCTTATTACATATCCACTCCACTTCTGTCATACCATTACAAGCAATTTCTGACACAGTATTTGCTACACACACGAGCTACAGTGACACAGCTTTTTCTGGAGCAATCAAATAAATTGGAAAATGTGTAATCTTAGAAATGGAAAGAAGTGATAGAAAAAAACACTGCCACTGATGTTATAGGAGAAGATTCAGCAAGATCCTTGATGTGCAGAGGATGTGGTCTGAATGAACAAGCAGCAGTTCCCAAGAATGAGGATAGCATTGTTGTTTTTATGGGGCTAACATTACTCAGCAAGTCACATACACATGATCAAAATGATAGTATTACAAGATATTTTTATTCCTGTGGGGGTTTTTTTGTTTTAGTTTTTCCTTTTAGTTCTTTAGTTTTCCTTCTTTAATAACAATGGCAGTAGCAGGGCTCGTTACAATTATTGAAAAGTTTATACCAGATGTAAGTCAGATATAATTTCTACCAAATCTATACCATATAATTATATTTAAGTAATCTAGTGAATTGGATCCTCTGGGCAGTAACCACAGAAATGGGAAAAAATAAATAGTTGCTTAGCATTGCTTACATTTGTTGTGCCCTGGTATTGTCTTCGCTGATTTCTTCATTATGAATCTTATTCTGTGGGTGAAGGGATCATCAGCTGCCATCCCCTTTGGCACACCGGTTGCTATCCTGGCAATGTGGTTTGGAATTTTCTGTCCCATTAACCTTCATTGGTGCATATTTTGGATTCAAAGAAAAGCCTATTGAACACCCAGTTCGTACAAACCAGATTCCTCGTCAGATCCCGGAGCAGTCGTTTTTCACAAAGCCGTTGCCTGGTATCATCATGGGTGGCATCTTGCCATTTGGTTGTATTTATATTCAGCTTTTTTTCATTCTAAACAGTATTTGGTCCCATCAAATGTACTACATGTTTGGTTTCCTGTTCTTAGTATTTATAATTCTTCTTATTACATGTTCTGAGACTACAGTCTTGCTGTGCTATTTCCATCTATGTGCAGAGGATTATCATTGGTGGTGGAGATCGTTCTTAACAAGCAGCTTTACAGCCGTTTATCTTTTTATCTATGCTGTTCATTACTTCTTCTCTAAACTCCAAATAACGGGAACTGCTAGTACCATTTTTTACTTTGGGTATACTATGATCATGGTTTTGATATTTTTCCTTTTTACAGGGACGATTGGATTTTTTGCCTGCTTCTGGTTTGTTAGTAAAATGGGTTAGGGATTGACCACAGATAATTTTTTTAAAGTTAACTTTTCAAATTTGACAATTTAGAAAGAGAGAGAGAGAAACATGTAGAAAGTGAGGTAAGTAAGGGTTTTGTGCATCCGTCAAGAAAAAAAAATCACGTCCAACAATTTGGACAGAATAGTTGTAAAAGTAACAGTTGACAGGTGGAAGCCATGGTCTTATTTTGCCTAGAAGTTACAAAATAGGAGACTGCATGGGTCAGGAGATTGGTAATTGGATAAAAACCTTTCATGAGTAAGAATCCATCCCAGATGGATGGTGACTGAAAATTGCTACCATCTGAGAGCTGTTTGTTGACTTTTGTGAACTAAGAAAACTGTTGTATAAAGTCATGCTGTAGTTGAATTTTAACTTTGACCAATAATGATATTTGTGATTATCCATACTAGCCTAGATGTAGGTGATCAAATCTTATGCTGCGGGGCATAAGATGATCTCCAGAGGGTTCAGAAAAGAATTTCTTACATTCACACAGCTTTGCACAATTGTTTTGTGTCTTGTGAACAGGTTCACCTTCCTCTGAAGCACTACACATCAGCCATTGCTAGAGGCAGTATATTTAATTTGATGGTCTGATGCCTAATCCAGTATAATAAACTCGTGGCTTTTTATTCTTTTGTCATGGTTAAAAAAAAGCCACAGATACACAAATGCTATAATGTTTTGGTCAATTACTATATGTTTTTAAATTATGAAAATAGAAGACAAAAATACATAGCCACACAAGCCACACATATGTAGAATAAACACCAAGCAGGAAACTGGTCTTAGTTTAGCAGTTGTTAAGGGAACTATCCTAACTGCATTGACAGGGAGCAGGAGCAGGCCTTAATTTCTCAGGGCACAACTTTTAGTGGGAGATGCAGTTGTTCAACACACCTTTCAGAATCATGTCCTAAAATTTGTCAGCACTGAGCTCATAATGGTGGCTATGATTGTGATTATGAAAGCACAAAAATTGGCACAGGGTGATGTACTTCTGAAACTGCTTTTAACAGTTTTTAAAATCAGCTAGATTTCAAATTGATGGTGTCTCTTCAACATCATTGGTTAAATGCAGGACAGGTGGTGACTCTGCTGAAACTAATAGACTTCTTTCAGTGCATATTTTGATCACTGCTTTTAAAAGAAACATTGTTAAATTAAAAATCATACACTGAAAAACAATGATCTTATCAGTGGAAAGCCAAGGGAAGAGGTGTGCTCTAGAACATAAGCCACCATAAGTCACTTTGCCCTTGTCACTTTTATTTTTGTTGCCTGTTTTCCCAACTGTGAAACTGGGATAATACTTGCCCACCTTTGTAACACACTTTAAAGAAAGGTGGTATGTTATCTGCTAATATCTTAGAGCCTGATCCTACCCCCATATTACTTTATTTTATAAACCTCAAATCCACTAAGAAATTTCAGAAAGCTCAATGGGAAATTGTGGGATTTGGAGCCACTTGTGGAAAATCACAGAGAAAGTAGTCAAAGAAATTATAGAAAGAAATAAAAGCAAACAATACAAAGTCTAAATTATATTAATCTCAACCACTAGTTTACTTTTCACCATTTATGCTGAAGTCAATGGAGTTGATCCCACTGGCACCCTTATAATCTTAAATCACAGAAAAAACATTTCTCTCTCTCTCTTCTCCTGGTTATTATTGCATTTAATAACACTGCTGTGGGTGTTCCTAGCATATTTTCATTCCTTCCTCTGTCATCTTAAATAAATGAATGCTTAAAGGCCATTTTAAGTTTCATATTTTACACCGTAAAGTAAAAGTTTTAAAGCATCAGCCGAGCACATGCATTTTGGATCATGGGAAGAAAAAGAAAAACATGTTTTTGGCAGTAGTATCCTTGACCTTGACATATCTCAGGAAAAAAAACATCCCTTCTCTCTAAATTATATTCCCAGCCTGAAGTATGACGTGTCCTAATGTTACCTTGAATCAGCATTACAGATGGGACTAAGTCAAAGTTGGGATCAGAATCCAGCTCCAGATGGTATTTGCATCCGGTCCAATAAAAAGCTAGGGGTTGAGTCTTAAGTTTCATTGCAGATCCAAACTTCCTCAAAATTCTGGAGTGTTAAGATATGTGGGGGAGAAATTGGTTCCAGCCAGACTCCAAGGAGTGTAGACTTTGGGTGATGAAACAATATTCAACTGTATTCACACAGGAAAAATATCAGCAGTAGAGAATTTGTATTTCATGTATGTATTATATTTTCCCTCTGTAGAGAGCATATGGAGAACAACTGCAATTCCTTACTAGTAAGATACTGGATTAAATTTTTAACCGTGAAGGTACAGGATTCCGATATATATTATTCAAGCTGATGTTTGTAGAGAATGGATCCGTATCAGATAACTAGAGCTGAGCAAAAATCAGAATGGCCATTGTGTGGGAAATACCAATATTTCAACATTTGTTTTCCCCAATCTAGAATATCAAAATTTTTCACAAAATGAAAAGTTGTGAACAACTTTGATTCAGAAATGGTGATACATTTCTCTTCAGCATTTTCAGTCAAAATGAAACTTTCTGATATTCAAACATTTCATTTTGGTTTGTTGAACTGACCTGAAACATTGGCTTTTTGGCCATCTAATAGACTGTTCTTAAAGAACTCCCAAAATTCATTCACATTTGTCTGTCCACATTTTTCCTTTTGGTCAATTTCACTGATAATTTTGCTCAGCTTTGGTAAATTAGCCCTTTTGAATCACCAAAGATAGATAGATAGATAGATAGATAGATAGCGGTGGGCAAACTTTTTGGCCTGAAGGCTGCATCGGGTTTCGGAAATTATATGGAGGGCTGGTTAGGGGAGGCTGTGCCTCCCCAAACAGCCAGGCATGGCCCGGCCCCTATCCCCCCCACCCGCTTCTTGCCCCTGATGGCCCCCCCGGGACTCCTGCTCCATCCAGCTCCACCCATCCCCTGACTGCCCCCGGAACCCCCACCCCTGACTGCCCCCCACCGCCCCATCCAACCCCCCCTCCTTCCTGACTGCCCCCCCAGAACCGCTGCCCCCATTCAACCCTGCTGTTCCCCGCCCTCTGAACACCTTGACCCCTATCCACACCCCTGCCCCCGACCACCACCCCCAAACTCCCCTGCCCTCTATCCAACCCCCCCTGCTCCATGCCCCATTACCACGCTGCCTGGAACACCGGTGGCTGCTGGTGCTACAGCCGAGCCTCCCAGCTGGAGCCAGCCACGCCACCGCGCAGCACAGAGCACCGGCTCAGGCCGGGCTCTGCAGCTGCATTGCCCCAGGAGCTCGCAGCCCCACCGCCCAGAGCATCGTGCCAGCGGCATAGTGAGCTGAGGCTGCGAGGGAGGGGGAACAGCGGGGGAGGGGCCGGGGGCTAGCCTCCCAGGCCAGGGGCTCAGGAGCTGGACAGGAGGGTCCCGCGGGCCGGATGTGACCCGCGGGCCATAGTTTGGCTACCTCTGATATATATACATATATATACAGAGAGAGAGAGATGGGATTGTTCTCTGTTTAATTTAATCAGGTTGTGATGACTGGTCCCTACGCAACCACCAACTTTCAGCCAAGTGATTAGTTCATCTTTATCCATTGTAATGAAGTACATAACAGAATTATTCATGTGCAGTGTTTCTAACACCTTTTGTGTTAGAAAAATCATCTCTAATTTTTAGAAGCTCTAATGATGTTTTACTACTGGCTGCCTGAGCTCTCCAACATGACACCTGCAAAAATCCCCCATAACAACACAATTTCTCCTTCCACACATTACAGACAGTTGCTTAAGGAGTAACTCATCGTGTTTTCTAGTTTGAGTCAGTGATCTGTTACAGAATCCCACCAGTACTCTCTCCTGGACTTTGTTAGTCAGTCATTCAAGATCCTTCAGGTCTAAGTTACCAACGACACTGAAATAGGTAATGGCATTTTTAATGCAGAGCGTCACCTTGTGACGTTATGAGTGTAATTTAATATCTCATTGAAAGGTGACAGGGCCAGAAAGAGTTAATTAACTCACAGATTGACCTGACCCATGGCCTAACTTTAAAGACTGGTTAGAAAGATATGTAAATGAATAGAGCTTTGAAATGCAAGTCTGCATTGTTAGAGATAGAAGAGTAGATGTTTGTTCAGGTCTTGTCATGTAAGCAAACAAGTTTGGTCTATTGCTATCGCTTTGATTCAAAGATCAAAAAGGGAATATTAACATTTAGGAAGATACTTGAGTGAAATAGTTTTCAGAGTAACAGCCGTGTTAGTCTGTATTCGCAAAAAGAAAAGGAGGACTTGTGGCATCTTAGAGACTAACCAATTTATTTGAGCATGAGCTTTCGTGAGCTACAGCTCACTTCATCGGATGCATACTGTGGAAAGTGTAGAAGATCTTTTTATATACACACAAAGCATGAAAAAATACCTCCTCCCACCCCACTCTCCTGCTGGTAATAGCTTATCTAAAGTGATCACTCTCCTTACAATGTGTATGATAATCAAGTAGGGCCATTTCCAGCACAAATCCAGGTTTTCTCACACCCCCGCCCCCCGCACTCCCCTCCCCCACACAAACCCACTCTCCTGCTGGTAATAGCTTATCTAAAGTGACCACTCTCCTTACAATGTGTATGATAATCAAGGTGGGCCATTTCCAGCACAAATCCAGGGTTTAACAAGAACGTCTGGGGGGAGGGTAGGAAAAAACAAGGGGAAATAGGTTACCTTGGATAATGACTTAGCCACTCCCAGTCTCTATTCAAGCCTAAATTAATTGTATCCAATTTGCAAATGAATTCCAATTCAACAGTTTCTCGCTGGAGTCTGGATTTGAAGTTTTTTTGTTGTAATATAGCAACTTTCATGTCTGTAATCACTTGACCAGAGAGATTGAAGTGTTCTCCGACTGGTTTATGAATGTTATAATTCTTGACATCTGATTTGTGTCCATTTATTCTTTTACGTAGAGACTGTCCAGTTTGACCAA